CATGCCCAGGTTGTGGGCCCAATCCCCAGTGGGGGACATGCAGGAGGTGGCCAATTGATGTTCTCTCTCATCAATGTTTCTATTTATCTCTCCCTCTCCCTTCCTCTCTCTCTAAAATCAATTTTAAAAAAATGTTTTTAATAAAAAATAAAAGTCACTAACAAAATCAGAATTGCCTAAAGCATGCTGAAATCATATTAAACAGGAAGGATTTACACACTTCCAGCATAACTGATATCAACTCATTAACATTTTGTCTGTCTGTCCTAGACTGTGAGCCCATGAAGTATGAGGACCATGTATGTCTTCACCTGTTCCCTCATGGGACCTGGTACCTAACTAAAAAGAAAAGTTTAATAAATGAATTAATCAATAAATCTAGAAACGAGGTTATTATGTGGAGAAGAAACAGACTTCATACATGTTCCTTCAGGGGATATAACTAAAATCAACAGGTAAAAGGGGAGGGGGAGACTTAGTACAGTCTAAAATACCTTTCTAGCAACCAAAACCTGTCCAGTAACAATGAAGTATAGCTGCAGTTTGAAGCTGATGATCAGACTATAGTAGGCAGAAGGTAGGATACTGGACTATGGGGCCTCTAAGAACTTTTCCAAGGCTCAAATCCTATTATTTTAAGTTATGATACACTGACTTATTCTTTCATGCACAGTGACTAGTTACACAAGTCCCAGGAATAAGCAACAGAGCACACCACAAAGTGTTCTACAAACTCCCAGCGCCCTCAAGGATCTAGACAAGAATAAATACACAGGAGTGACCTTCCAAAGAGGAAGGTAACGAATACATACAATAGGGAACAGCAAGGAATGAGGAGACTTCCAGGCAAGAGGCAGGAAGAAAATAAAAATGTAGAAGAAGAAATGCCCCCATCTGAGCTAGGTCTTCAGGAATCCATGGGGAGACATAGACTGGGACTGTCGTAAAATCTGGGGAGAAAAAGCTTTCGGTATGGCAATAATGCATGGTCTGGGCATAAAGGAGTATTTCGCCTGGGGTGGTGGAACAATCAGTAAATTCTGGTGCTAAAATAATAAGGCCTTTAGAGATCATTTAGTCACACACATAAATTTTATGGATGTTACCCTGATTGCACTGGGTAAAAAAGGTTAGATTAATTTCTTAAATTACATTTTATAAACCAAAAACTATTTCATCGATGATTTTTTTCTTTTTTTTTTTTTAATCCTCACCCAAGGACATTTTTCCATTTTTTGATAGAGTGGGAGGGAGAGAGAGAGAGAAACATCGACATGAAAGGGACACATCGAGTGGCTGCCACCCGCACAACCTAACCAGGGCTGGGGAAAAACTGCAACCAAGGTACATGCCCTTATCAGGAACCGAACCCGGGTCTCTCCAGACCACAGGCCAACACTCTAACCACTGAGCCAAACCGGCCAGGGCAATGATTTCTTCTTTACTTATTTTTTTTTTTAAAGACTAATAGATCCTTCTCTTATTTTCTAGAATATCTTTTAGATGATTATTTTTAAACATTTGCTATTTTTCACTACTGTCTACTCTTACTACTATTTAATATGACAACCAGACTTGCAGTTATTAAAATAAGCTGACAGTTTTAATAACTCAGCTCTAAGCCTAATATTTATAATCCCATCAATTGTTTTAATATTTACTACTAGTACTACAAAATAAAAAGTATTATATAGCCCTGGCCCGTTTGGCTCAGAGGTTAGAGCGTCGGCCCACGGACCAGAGAGTCCTGGGTTTGGTTCCCACTAAGGGCACGTACCTAGGTTGCATTTTGTCTCCGGCCCCGGATGGGGTTGTGTGGGTAGCAACCAGTCTATGTGTCTCTCTCACATCGATGTTTCTCTCTCTCCCTCCCTCCCTTTCTCCCTCCCACTCTATCTGAAGATACATGCAAAGAAATGTCCTCGGGTGAGGATAAAAAAAAAAAAAAGTATTATACAATAGCCTGGCTGGTGCGGCTCAGTGGTTGAGCATCAATCCATGCACCAAGAGGTTGCCGGTTTGATTCCCAGTCAGGACACATGCCCAGGCTGTGGGCCTGATTCCTGGTGGGGGGCATGCAAGAGGTGGCCAATCTTTCACGGATGTTTCTATCTCTCTCCCTCTCTCTTCCTCTCTCTAAATTCAATAAAGAAAAAAAAAGTATCATATAATAATCCAAAAGCTATGACTTTAAGTAGAAGACTGTTAAGACTACATGGAATCTCTGTCCTGGCCGGTTTGGCTCAGCGGTTAGGGCGTCGGCCTGCGGTACAGAGAGACCCGGGTTCGGTTCCCGCTAAGGGCACGTACCTCGGTTGCAGTTTGTCCCCGGCCCTGGTTGGTCGTGCGGGTGGCAACCACTCGATGTGTCCCTTCACATCGATGTTTCCCTCTCTCTCTCTTCCTCTCTCTCTCCCTCCCGCTCTGTCTGAACAAAAAAAAAAAAAGACGACATGGAGTCTCAAAAAACAAAATTTAAGTCTCAGATACAATAAACTATCTCACCTAACTTATAAATCATGAGACTGAGTCACTTAAGAAAATAGAATTAGCCTGGCTGGTGTGGCTCAGTGGTTGAACATCGACCCATGCACCAAGAGGTTTAATTCCCAATCAGGGCACATGCCCAGGTTGTGGGCTAACTCTCCAGTGATGGGCATGCAGGAGGCAGCCAATCGATGTTCTCTCTGATCGATGTTTCCATCTCTCTCTCCTCTCTCTAAAATCAATAAAGAAAAAACATTAAAAAGAAAATAGAATTAACAGAAGACTAAAGCAAGTATCTAAAACCAAAACCAGTGAACAAAACAGAACACATTTGAACAATAAACTAATGTTCTTCCAGCCAATCACTTCTCAACATCCCTGTCAAACTATTTTAAGGGTCTGAAATCTTGCTCTATAAAAAGCATGTTCCCATCATCTGAACTACACTGAAGAGATCCTATCACAGTTGTTACTTGAAGCACAACACACCAAGTTTCAGATTTTTGCTTCCTATTAGTACAAAAAATGCTCACCTCTTTTACATAAAGTTGAGTTCTGTGGCCAAAATCCTGACACACTAGGAGATCTGGGTTTTCAGTTCTAACACTAAAATGTAAGCTTAGTAAAGGCCTTTTCTTTATTTGCCACTTAAGATTATAACAAGCAGATACAGTATTTGATACTTCCGTCACCAACAATTTCTTCAAAGGATTTCTTAGTTGAGAGAATATAAAGCTATGGCTGAAAACTCAATAAAAATTACAACTTTAAGAATCTAAAACAGTGCTACACGTTAGCTGATAAACTATGAATTACAGAAATGGAGATTTCAATAACAATTGCTAAAAAAAAAAAAGTTCAATTACACAAGTTTACAAAGATGAATAAGCAAACAGCTCACCAAAATTTAAACCTCTCTTAGCAAATGGAGAAGATAAATAATATTGAATAGCCCTGGCAGGTTTGGCTCAGCGATTAGAGCGTCAGCCTGCAGTCCAGAGAAACCCAGGTTCGGTTCCCGCTAAGGGCATGTACCTCGGTTGCAGTTTGTCCCCGGCCCTGGTTGGTCGTGCGGGTGGCAACCATTCGATGTCTCCCTTTCACATCGATGTTTCTCTCTCTCTCTCTTCCTCTCTCTCCTTCCCACTCTATCTGAACAGAAAACGAAAAAATGTTCTCGGGTGAGGATAAAAATAATAATAATATTGAATAACTGGGACACGGTGGGGTTATTTTTGTTATTTATATGGTCTGTATGCATCAATGTTACTATTCTCCCACTCCCTAGATGAGCAAAAGGAGCCCACTGTCCAGGATTCCTCACACCTAGTGCTCAGTATATACCACAAATAATAATAGTAGTAACAGTAATAGAAACAACTTTTAAAGCCAGAATTTATAACAGACTGTGGCATCCGCATACGTGCAAGGCACATGGTAGCATGCAACTATTTCTCTCTTCTGAGCTTCTGCATCACAGCCTCCCAAAGGACTAGATAATCTGAAGCTCGCACTGCCACATCTACAAATTAAAGTATCGTGTTTAAAGAGCTCACAGGTTCCGCGAATGGTCAGTATTTAATGAACGAACCCCAAAACAGAGAAACTCACCCAGATGCAACAAAACATGCTTTTCAGGCTCCACATATATTTTTTTTAATTTTAGAAACAAACATAATTATTTCAAAAGCATTATGTAATAAGTTAGACTCTGGAAAACCCCATACTCTACCGAGCGACTCGGAAAATGGAAAGCAAAATTCGATTAGCTCCATTGTACCCAACCAGAATAAGGTGCAAGATCACACTCATCTTCGTCAGAGCGTCTCTGCCAATACCAAAGAACAACAAAGGCAAGTTGAGGAGGCTGCACAAGGCTTAACTCAGCACTTGTCCACTTTCCCGGCTTCTGAAAGGAGCTATCTGCGGGCCCCGGGGACCAAGGGGACCCTCCGCATCCCGCCCGGCCCGCGGCTCCGCGCCGCGCCGCGCCGCGCGTCAGCTTTTGTCTGGCGGGGCTGGAGCTCCGGCCGCCCGCCTCCCGGCACCCCTTCCCTCTGGATCTTTCTCCACACCCATCACTCGCCGACGAGCTGTTGTGGGTTTCTCTCCCTTGCCCCCACCCTCGCAATTCCGGGCTCTTTTCAAATGCGACTCGGGGTTCGCCGGCTTCTCCCACCCGGCGGGCTGACTCTGGTCAGGGGTGGGGTCTGGGAGAGGAAAAGAGAAAGGGGCACACAAAGCAAGGCTGACCTCACAGCCGCCGCCCCCCACCCCCAACCTCTGCAAAGCAGCCTGGGACCAGCGACCTTCTTGTAGGAAAAACAACCCTCCCATCCCGCTCTTCGCCGGGCTCCCACCTAGGGCCGCCCCCTCCCCCAAAAGTGCACCCAAGAACCGATGACAAAGCTGGACGTCGCCCCCACCCAGTCCGGGCGCCCTCCACGCGGGGGAGGGGGCAGGGGCCTGGGAGGGCCGGGGTCCAAATCTCCTCGCCCTAACCGGACACTTACAGCAGTATTATTCGCTATAGTTGCCGCCGCCTTACCAGATCGCCGCCGCCTTCTCCTCCACCCTAATGAGGTTAAGTGCTTGGTGCGGGGATTAAAAAAAAAAAAAAAAAAAAAAAGCCGAGAGCGCCTGCGCAGTGCGCTCGCCCAGTTCCCCTTACCGCCACCGACCCAGCTGGACCATAGAGTGTGTAAACCGTAGACCAGAGAGGCGGCTGCTTCTCTATCGTAACACCCTGCGCAGCCGCCGGCTTTCCGGCTGCGAGTTCCGGCAGCTTTCGCCTCCTCGGAGGACGTCACTTGACCCTGATGGGCACCCGTAGGGTAAAAGTTCTTTAGGGGAATCGTGGCCACAGAGCTGCTGAGCCCCTTGGGAACTTGCGGCAAAACTCAGGCTAGACAAGGGGGTCGTCTCTAAGGGGCAAGGCTATAGGGCATCAGAAAGCTGGCAGTGTGGTGAGGAGAGTTCAGGAGAAAGCAGTCTGAAAGCCGTCTGGCTGGAACTTTCTCCAGTCGGGGGGTCTAATACCTGAAGGAAACGGCCTTTTCACTTCTGGGTTACGCGCGCTCGGCCCGGAGCGGGCGACTGGGATGACGGAAATTGTGCCCTACGACTCTCCGTACCCGGCGTCCTTTTTCCCTTCCCTCCCAGAGTAGGCGCGGACACTTGAGCCGGAAGCACAACTTTTTAACGGTTCTTTGACCTCTTTGTAGCGGGGCCTGCGGAGTGGAGCCCTCGCAGACCTTTGGGACGTGCTTTTCTTACTGGAGCGTCTCCCCGACGCTGTCTCTGCCCTGCCTCTCGCATTCCCCTCTAATGATACCATGTGGGAAAGTGTTTCAGAGGCCCGACAGCGGTGCAAGTTGTACGGCTGCATTTAAGGATCCTAAAGACCCTGCGCTCGCCGGCAATTTGACATTGTAAGCTGTGTGCGATTACGCACTGCCTCGTGGAAATCACTCTTAGAGTGTGAGTTGACGCCCTCCATCTCGGGGTCCAGTGCATTGTGTCCACTGGAAGCTCTTTGCCACGCTCCGTGTTGGCGGTATTGTGGGTGTGTTGGGAGAGGGGTGCGGGAGAACTGTAAGATAATGCCCCCATACTCGGGTGTAAATGTTATGGTTGGAGAGACTAAGCTAAAACAATAAAGCCATGTGTAGGCCCCTCTGTGAGGTGCAGAAAAGAGAGAGGACATGGGGAATTTGGTTCCTGGAATCTAGAAAAGGTTATGTTATAATGTGTCAGCAAGATAACCAGAGAGGCACAGCCAAGTTGTAAAGGAGCGCTTTATTCTCGTTGGCGGGCTGTGGGGGAGCATAGTCTGCCCTCAGATCAGCAGCCAGGCTTCTTTTGGCTGGCTGGATTTTTAAAGACAGAAGCCCCATCCTCCTTTTGCCGCCGCCCCCCGCCCCGCCCCCCCCCAGGACCAGTACAATAGTGGGTGTGACAGTGATTACAGAAGTCAAAATTAGCATTATTTAGGGGCTCACCAGTACCTGCAAATGCCTGCAAATACCTATACCCCTCCTTTACTTCTATGGGTAATTAACCTATTATTGGAAAAATATGGAGGAAGGGCCATTGATGATAAAAAATGGAATTATGTAGTCGCCTTAACCAAGAGGCCTACATAAGGATGGAATCTGGTTGCCTTAGCCTCGGGGCCCAGGTCAGTTACATCTTTAGGGCAAAAGCACAAGCAGACTTTTGAAAATGAAGAAAGCATTCCAGAGAAGACGCACCACCGGGCAAAGGCTCAGGGAGTGGGTGTTATACGGGGAGTGAAATGAAGAGAACAAAGTGAAAGGCAAACTGCATATAAGACTAGTGGAAAGTAAGGTTTGATGAATGGGATGGAGAATTTTTTTTTTAAGTGTAAATAAGCAGCATAAAAGTCTTTACCATTTTTAAGTCTACAGTAGATTTAAGGACATTTACAATGTTAGGCAGCATCACCATAAACTCTTCCTCTTACAAAACTGGAATTCCTCACCTATTCCCCTTCCCCCCAGCTCCTACCAACCACCCTTCCACTTTCTGTATAAATTTGACTACTCAAGTGCCTCATGTAAATGGAATCCTACATATTTTGTGTGTGTGATTGGCTTATTTCATTTAACCTTATGTCTTTAATGTTCGTTCATCTTGTGGCTTGTATCAGAATTTCCTTACGTTTTAAGTCTGAATGATATTCCATTGTGTGGGGGGGGGTATACACCACAATGGACACTTGGGTTGCTTACACCTTTTGACTATTGTGAATAATGCTATTATGAACATGGCAGTGCATTTCTCTTTGCTCTTAATAGGATGAAGAAGATTTTGAAACCAAGTGGAGAAATCTGTACTGTTTCAGGTCCCCCACTTGGGATAGTAACATAGTGAAAGAACTGTTTAGAAAGTGACACTGACAGTGGAAGTTTATTACATACTCCATTTATATAAAGCATTTATGGAGGCTTTATGATATGCCAGGCATTGACTACCACTTAAATAAATAACAGTATGTCATTGAATCCATCAAGATAAACATGAGCCAATTGTTATTTAACACATCTTATAGGTGTGAAAATTAAGGTTTGGGGTTACAGATGGGCTGAGAGGAGGCTCACCAACTATGTACAAACAGGTAATTATGAAACAAAACTCCCATGGGAGCCCAGCACTGATGGCCACTGACTATTCACTGGTTTGGACAGGAATATTGAAATAAAGTATTTCACATGCCAAGAGTGAATGTTCTCAGGAGAAAAATAGGCTGACATCAAAAGCTTTGGAGCTTAACACAGCAAAACTAAATCTTCTTATGTCCCTAAAAGAACACTGGAATTTGTCTGGCTGGTGTAGCTCCGTGGTTGAGCATTGACCCATGCTCCAAGAGGTCACCGATTTGATTCCCGTTCTGGACACATGCCCAGGTTGTGGGCCAGATCCCCAGTGGGGAGCATGCAGGAGGTAGCCAGTTGATGTTCTCTCTCATCAGTGTTCCTCTCCCTCTCTCTCTCTCTCTCTCTCTCTCTCTCTCTCACACACACACAAATCAATAAAGGGGGGAAAAAAAAAACACTGGAATTTGACTCCAAATATGTTTATTGCCTTAAAATAGTGTGGTGAAGCCCTGGGGTGGGATGGGAACTGGGTGAAGCGGGGCAATGGGGGGAAAAATGCAGGACATCTCTAATTCTCTCAACAATAAAGACCTTTTTTAAATAATAAAAAATGTAAAATTGCCCTGGCCACTTTGGCTCAGCAGTCAGAGTGTCGGCCCACAGACCAATGGGTCGTGGGTTCAATTCTGGTGAAGGGCATGTACCTTGGTTTTGGTTCATCCCTGACCCTGGTCAGGTTGTGCAGGAGGCAACCAGTCAATGTGGCTCTATCACATCGATGTTTCTGTCTCTCTCTCCCCCTCCCTCTCACTCTAATGATAAAAGGAAAAATATCCTCAAGTGAGGAGTACAATTTTTTTTAATAAAATACCAGGTACATATATCTTTGTAGGTAATGTAAAAATAAGACACACCACTTTCTACTTAATACTTCATCTTTCATTTTACATCATCAAATATCCTGTGAGATCATTTAAAGTGAAATCATTTAAAGCAATAATTTCCTTTTGACACATGAGGATATTGAGGGCCAGAAATGGAAAAATGGTTTACCCAGTGTCATATGGTACCAAGACTGCCACAGATATCTGAACCTCTTGAAGTCCCACTCTGTGCCTTGGGCTCCCTTACAAAGATACCATGGTCTGAGTGAGTGGACAATGTTTTATTCAGTCTCATCTTCCTCAGGAATACATGCCCAAACTCCCACAGCATTCAGACACTCAAAAGGATTGTGTTCCATCTGTGTGCCCAACATTTAGCAAAGCAGGAAAAAAATCCCTGTTCTCAGAGGAGATAGAAAACGTATAAATATATATTATGTCAAGTAGAATAAGTATTATGGGGAAAATGTAGCAGACAGTGGGGAGTGCTAAGGAAAGAGTTCTGTTTAATTACACAAGGGGAAAAGCAAACAGCAAAGATCTGAAGGAAGCAAGTGAACAAGAAATGTTCTTTAGCCCAGCCCATGTGGCTCAGTGGTTGAGCGTTGACCCATGCAACCAAAAGGTTGCTGGTTCGGTTTCAGGTCAGGGCACATGCCCAGATTGTGGACCAAATCCCCAGTGTGGACCAAATCCCCAGTGTGGGGCATGCAGGAGGCAGCCAATCGATGTTCTCTCTCATCAATGTTTCTATCTCTCCCTCTCCATTCCTCTCTCTAAAAATCAATAAAAAAGAACATTTTTTTTAAAGAAATGTTCTTTAGGCCCTGGCCAGTTTGGCTCAGCGGTTAGAGTATTGGCCCCAGTCGAGGGCACTTACCTGGGTTGCAGGTTTGATTTCCTGCCCCTGTGGTGGTGCGTGTGTGGGAGGCAACCAATCAATGTGTCTCTCTCATATAGATGTTTCTCTCCCTTCCACTCTATCTAAAAGTCAATGGAAAAATATCCTAGGATGAGGATTAAAAAAAGTTAAAAAATAAAAAGACAGCCCTGGCTGGTTTGGCTCAGCAGTTAGAGCATTGGCCTGCAGTGTGGAGAGACCCGGGTTCAGTTCCCGCTAAGGGCACGTACCTCGGCTGCAGTTTGTCCCCGGCCCTGGTTGGGTCATGCGGGTGGCAGCCACTTGATGTGTCTCTTTCACATCAATGTTTCTCTGTCTCTCTCTCTCCCTCCCTCCCACTCTCTCTGAACAAAAAACGAAAAAATGTCCTCGAGTGAGGTTAAAAAAAAAAAGACATGTTCTTTATCTGGGAGAAGAGGCATGCCAGGTAGAGAGAATGGAAAGTGCATAAATCATTCTGAGGCAGGAAGATATCTACTACATTCTAAGAACAGAAAAGAGTCCAGGGTGGCAGAAGCAGGGTATGGGAGGGGAGAAGTAGGAAATGAGGTCATAGGAAACGATGGGAAATTGTGTAGGGTCTTAGGACATGGTGAGGACTTAGTGAGAGGGGAAGCCATTCAAAGGTTTTGAGCAGGGAAGATTTGACTTCTCTTTTTAAAGAATCACTGTAGCTTCTGTTTTGAGAATTGATTGTAGGGAAACAAGAGAGAG